CCAGCATCTGCTCTCACCACAAGCACCTGCTCTCACCACAAGCACCTGCTATCACCACAAGCACCTGCTCTCACCACCACAAGCACCTGCTCTCACCACAAGCACCTGCTCTCACCACAAGCACCTGCTCTCACCACAAGCACCTGCTCTCACCACCAGCACCTGCTCTCAAAACCACCAGCACCTGCTCTCACCACAACCACCTGCTCTCACCACCACAAGCACCTGCTCTCACCACCACCAGCACCTGCTCTCACCACCACCAGCACCTGCTCTCACCACCACCAGCACCTGCTCTCACCACCACCAGCACCTGCTCTCACCACAAGCACCTGCTCTTACCACCAGCACCTGCTCTCACCACCACCAGCACCTGCTCTCACCACCACCAGCACCTGCTCTCACCACAAGCACCTGCTCTCACCACCAGCACCTGCTCTCACCACCACCAGCACCTGCTCTCACCACAAGCACGTGCTCTCACCACCACCAGCACCTGCTCTCACCACAAGCACGTGCTTTCACCACCACAAGCACCTGCTCCCACCACAAGCACCTGCTCTCACCACAAGCACCTGCTCTCACCACAAGCACCTGCTCTCACCACCACAAGCACCTGCTCTCACCACAAGCACCTGCTCTCACCACAAGCACCTGCTCTCACCACAAGCACCTGCTCTCACCACCAGCACCTGCTCTCACCACCACCAGCACCTGCTCTCACCACAAGCACCTGCTCTCACCACCACAAGCACCTGCTCTCACCACCACCAGCACCTGCTCTCACCACAAGCACCTGCTCTCACCACAAGCACCTGCTCTCACCACCAGCACCTGCTCTCAAAACCACCAGCACCTGCTCTCACCACCAGCACCTGCTCTCACCACCACAAGCACCTGCTCTCACCACCACCAGCACCTGCTCTCACCACCACCAGCACCTGCTCTCACCACAAGCACCTGCTCTCACCACCAGCACCTGCTCTCACCACCACCAGCACCTGCTCTCACCACAAGCACGTGCTCTCACCACCACCAGCACCTGCTCTCACCACAAGCACGTGCTCTCACCACCACAAGCACCTGCTCCCACCACAAGCACCTGCTCTCACCACCAGCACCTGCTCTCACCACCAGCATCTGCTCTCACCACAAGCACCTGCTCTCACCACAAGCACCTGCTATCACCACAAGCACCTGCTCTCACCACCACAAGCACCTGCTCTCACCACAAGCACCTGCTCTCACCACAAGCACCTGCTCTCACCACAAGCACCTGCTCTCACCACCAGCACCTGCTCTCAAAACCACCAGCACCTGCTCTCACCACAACCACCTGCTCTCACCACCACAAGCACCTGCTCTCACCACCACCAGCACCTGCTCTCACCACCACCAGCACCTGCTCTCACCACCACCAGCACCTGCTCTCACCACCACCAGCACCTGCTCTCACCACAAGCACCTGCTCTTACCACCAGCACCTGCTCTCACCACCACCAGCACCTGCTCTCACCACCACCAGCACCTGCTCTCACCACAAGCACCTGCTCTCACCACCACCACCTGCTCTCACCACCACCAGCACCTGCTCTCACCACAAGCACGTGCTCTCACCACCACCAGCACCTGCTCTCACCACAAGCACGTGCTTTCACCACCACAAGCACCTGCTCCCACCACAAGCACCTGCTCTCACCACCAGCACCTGCTCTCACCACCAGCATCTGCTCTCACCACAAGCACCTGCTCTCACCACAAGCACCTGCTCTCACCACAAGCACCTGCTCTCACCACAAGCACCTGCTCTCACCACCAGCACCTGCTCTCAAAACCACCAGCACCTGCTCTCACCACAAGCACCTGCTCTCACCACCACAAGCACCTGCTCTCACCACCACCAGCACCTGCTCTCACCACAAGCACCTGCTCTCACCACAAGCACCTGCTCTCACCACCAGCACCTGCTCTCAAAACCACCAGCACCTGCTCTCACCACAAGCACCTGCTCTCACCACCACAAGCACCTGCTCTCACCACCACCAGCACCTGCTCTCACCACCACCAGCACCTGCTCTCACCACAAGCACCTGCTCTCACCACCAGCACCTGCTCTCACCACCACCAGCACCTGCTCTCACCACAAGCACGTGCTCTCACCACCACCAGCACCTGCTCTCACCACAAGCACGTGCTCTCACCACCACAAGCACCTGCTCTCACCACAAGCACCTGCTCTCACCACAAGCACCTGCTCTCACCACCAGCACCTGCTCTCAAAACCACCAGCACCTGCTCTCACCACAAGCACCTGCTCTCACCACCACAAGCACCTGCTCTCACCACAAGCACCTGCTCTCACCACCACCAGCACCTGCTCTCACCACAAGCACCTGCTCTCACCACAAGCACCTGCTCTCACCACCAGCACCTGCTCTCAAAACCACCAGCACCTGCTCTCACCACAAGCACCTGCTCTCACCACCACAAGCACCTGCTCTCACCACCACCAGCACCTGCTCTCAAAAACACCAGCACCTGCTCTCAAAACCACCAGCACCTGCTCTCACCACCACAAGCACCTGCTCTCACCACCACCAGCACCTGCTCTCACCACCACCAGCACCTGCTCTCACCACAAGCACCTGCTCTCACCACCAGCACGTGCTCTCACCACCACCAGCACCTGCTCTCACCACCACCAGCACCTGCTCTCACCACAAGCACCTGCTCTCACCACCAGCACCTGCTCTCACCACCACCAGCACCTGCTCTCACCACAAGCAAGTGCTCTCACCACCACCAGCACCTGCTCTCACCACAAGCACGTGCTCTCACCACCACAAGCACCTGCTCCCACCACAAGCACCTGCTCTCACCACCAGCACTTGCTCTCACCACCAGCATCTGCTCTCACCACAAGCACCTGCTCTCACCACAAGCACCTGCTCTCACCACAAGCACCTGCTCTCACCACCACAAGCACCTGCTCTCACCACAAGCACCTGCTCTCACCACAAGCACCTGCTCTCACCACAAGCACCTGCTCTCACCACCAGCACCTGCTCTCACCACCACCAGCACCTGCTCTCACCACAAGCACCTGCTCTCACCACCACAAGCACCTGCTCTCACCACCACCAGCACCTGCTCTCACCACAAGCACCTGCTCTCACCACAAGCACCTGCTCTCACCACCAGCACCTGCTCTCAAAACCACCAGCACCTGCTCTCACCACCAGCACCTGCTCTCACCACCACAAGCACCTGCTCTCACCACCACCAGCACCTGCTCTCACCACAAGCACCTGCTCTCACCACCAGCACCTGCTCTCACCACCACCAGCACCTGCTCTCACCACAAGCACGTGCTCTCACCACCACCAGCACCTGCTCTCACCACAAGCACGTGCTCTCACCACCACAAGCACCTGCTCCCACCACAAGCACCTGCTCTCACCACCAGCACCTGCTCTCACCACCAGCATCTGCTCTCACCACAAGCACCTGCTCTCACCACAAGCACCTGCTATCACCACAAGCACCTGCTCTCACCACCACAAGCACCTGCTCTCACCACAAGCACCTGCTCTCACCACAAGCACCTGCTCTCACCACAAGCACCTGCTCTCACCACCAGCACCTGCTCTCAAAACCACCAGCACCTGCTCTCACCACAAGCACCTGCTCTCACCACCACAAGCACCTGCTCTCACCACCACCAGCACCTGCTCTCACCACCACCAGCACCTGCTCTCACCACAAGCACCTGCTCTCACCACCAGCACCTGCTCTCACCACCACCAGCACCTGCTCTCACCACCACCAGCACCTGCTCTCACCACAAGCACCTGCTCTCACCACCAGCACCTGCTCTCACCACCACCAGCACCTGCTCTCACCACAAGCACGTGCTCTCACCACCACCAGCACCTGCTCTCACCACAAGCACGTGCTTTCACCACCACAAGCACCTGCTCCCACCACAAGCACCTGCTCTCACCACCAGCACCTGCTCTCACCACCAGCATCTGCTCTCACCACAAGCACCTGCTCTCACCACAAGCACCTGCTCTCACCACAAGCACCTGCTCTCACCACAAGCACCTGCTCTCACCACCAGCACCTGCTCTCAAAACCACCAGCACCTGCTCTAACCACAAGCACCTGCTCTCACCACCACAAGCACCTGCTCTCACCACCACCAGCACCTGCTCTCACCACAAGCACCTGCTCTCACCACAAGCACCTGCTCTCACCACCAGCACCTGCTCTCAAAACCACCAGCACCTGCTCTCACCACAAGCACCTGCTCTCACGACCACAAGCACCTGCTCTCACCACCACCAGCACCTGCTCTCACCACCACCAGCACCTGCTCTCACCACAAGCACCTGCTCTCACCACCAGCACCTGCTCTCACCACCACCAGCACCTGCTCTCACCACAAGCACGTGCTCTCACCACCAGCAGCACCTGCTCTCACCACAAGCACGTGCTCTCACCACCACAAGCACCTGCTCTCACCACAAGCACCTGCTCTCACCACAAGCACCTGCTCTCACCACAAGCACCTGCTCTCACCACCAGCACCTGCTCTCAAAACCACCAGCACCTGCTCTCACCACAAGCACCTGCTCTCACCACCACAAGCACCTGCTCTCACCACCACCAGCACCTGCTCTCACCACAAGCACCTGCTCTCACCACAAGCACCTGCTCTCACCACCAGCACCTGCTCTCAAAACCACCAGCACCTGCTCTCACCACAAGCACCTGCTCTCACCACCACAAGCACCTGCTCTCACCACCACCAGCACCTGCTCTCACCACCACCAGCACCTGCTCTCACCACAAGCACCTGCTCTCACCACCAGCACCTGCTCTCACCACCACCAGCACCTGCTCTCACCATAAGCACGTGCTCTCACCACCACCAGCACCTGCTCTCACCACAAGCACGTGCTCTCACCACCACAAGCACCTGCTCCCACCACAAGCACCTGCTCTCACCACCAGCACCTGCTCTCACCACCAGCATCTGCTCTCACCACAAGCACCTGCTCTCACCACAAGCACCTGCTCTCACCACAAGCACCTGCTCTCACCACCACCAGCACCTGCTCTCACCACAAGCACCTGCTCTCACCACCAGCACCTGCTCTCAAAACCACCAGCACCTGCTCTCACCACAAGCACCTGCTCTCACCACCACAAGCACCTGCTCTCACCACCACAAGCACCTGCTCTCACCACCACCAGCACCTGCTCTCACCACAAGCACCTGCTCTCATCACAAGCACCTGCTCTCACCACCAGCACCTGCTCTCAAAACCACCAGCACCTGCTCTCACCACAAGCACCTGCTCTCACCACCACAAGCACCTGCTCTCACCACCACCAGCACCTGCTCTCACCACCACCAGCACCTGCTCTCACCACAAGCACCTGCTCTCACCACCAGCACCTGCTCTCACCACCACCAGCACCTGCTCTCACCACAAGCACGTGCTCTCACCACCACCAGCACCTGCTCTCACCACAAGCACGTGCTCTCACCACCACAAGCACCTGCTCCCACCACCACAAGCACCTGCTCTCACCACCACCAGCACCTGCTCTCACCACAAGCACCTGCTCTCATCACAAGCACCTGCTCTCACCACCAGCACCTGCTCTCAAAACCACCAGCACCTGCTCTCACCACAAGCACCTGCTCTCACCACCACAAGCACCTGCTCTCACCACCACCAGCACCTGCTCTCACCACCACCAGCACCTGCTCTCACCACAAGCACCTGCTCTCACCACCAGCACCTGCTCTCACCACCACCAGCACCTGGTCTCACCACAAGCACCTGCTCTCACCACCACCAGCACCTGCTCTCACCACAAGCACCTGCTCTCACCACCAGCACCTGCTCTCACCACCAGCATCTGCTCTCACCACAAGCACCTGCTCTCACCACAAGCACCTGCTCTCACCACAAGCACCTGCTCTCACCACCACAAGCACCTGCTCTCACCACCACCAGCACCTGCTCTCACCACCACCAGCACCTGCTCTCACCACAAGCACCTGCTCTCACCACCACAAGCACCTGCTCTCACCACCACCAGCACCTGCTCTCACCACAAGCACCTGCTCTCACCACAAGCACCTGCTCTCACCACCAGCACCTGCTCTCAAAACCACCAGCACCTGCTCTCACCACAAGCACCTGCTCTCACCACCACAAGCACCTGCTCTCACCACCACCACCACCTGCTCTCACCACAAGCACCTGCTCTCACCACAAGCACCTGCTCTCACCACCAGCACCTGCTCTCAAAACCACCAGCACCTGCTCTCACCACAAGCACCTGCTCTCACCACAAGCACCTGCTCTCACCACCACAAGCACCTGCTCTCACCACCACCAGCACCTGCTCTCACCACAAGCACCTGCTCTCACCACAAGCACCTGCTCTCACCACCAGCACCTGCTCTCAAAACCACCAGCACCTGCTCTCACCACAAGCACCTGCTCTCACCACCACAAGCACCTGCTCTCACCACCAGCACCTGCTCTCAAAACCACCAGCACCTGCTCTCAAAACCACCAGCACCTGCTCTCACCACAAGCACCTGCTCTCACCACCACAAGCACCTGCTCTCACCACCACCAGCACCTGCTCTCACCACAAGCACCTGCTCTCACCACAAGCACCTGCACTCACCACCAGCACCTGCTCTCAAAACCACCAGCACCTGCTCTCACCACAAGCACCTGCTCTCACCACCACAAGCACCTGCTCTCACCACCACCAGCACCTGCTCTCACCACAAGCACCTGCTCTCACCACAAGCACCTGCTCTCACCACCAGCACCTGCTCTCAAAACCACCAGCACCTGCTCTCACCACAAGCACCTGCTCTCACCACCACAAGCACCTGCTCTCACCATCACCAGCACCTGCTCTCACCACAAGCACCTGCTCTCACCACAAGCACCTGCTCTCACCACCAGCACCTGCTCTCACCACAAGCACCTGCTCTCACCACAAGCACAAGCACCTGCTCTCACCACAAGCACCTGCTCTCACCACAAGCACACTGCTCTCACCACAAGCACCTGCTCTCACCACAAGCACCTGCTCTCACCACAAGCACCTGCTCTCACCACAAGCACCTGCTCTCACCACAAGCACCTGCTCTCACCACAAGCACCTGCTCTCACCACAAGCACCTGCTCTCACCACAAGCACCTGCTCTCACCACAAGCACCTGCTCTCACCACAAGCACCTGCTCTCACCACAAGCACCTGCTCTCACCACAAGCACCTGCTCTCACCACAAGCACCTGCTCTCACCACAAGCACCTGCTCTCACCACAAGCACCTGCTCTCACCACAAGCACCTGCTCTCACCACAAGCACCTGCTCTCACCACAAGCACCTGCTCTCACCACAAGCACCTGCTCTCACCACAAGCACCTGCTCTCACCACAAGCACCTGCTCTCACCACAAGCACCTGCTCTCACCACAAGCACCTGCTCTCACCACAAGCACCTGCTCTCACCACAAGCACCTGCTCTCACCACAAGCACCTGCTCTCACCACAAGCACCTGCTCTCACCACAAGCACCTGCTCTCACCACAAGCACCTGCTCTCACCACAAGCACCTGCTCTCACCACAAGCACCTGCTCTCACCACAAGCACCTGCTCTCACCACAAGCACCTGCTCTCACCACAAGCACCTGCTCTCACCACAAGCACCTGCTCTCACCACAAGCACCTGCTCTCACCACAAGCACCTGCTCTCACCACAAGCACCTGCTCTCACCACAAGCACCTGCTCTCACCACAAGCACCTGCTCTCACCACAAGCACCTGCTCTCACCACAAGCACCTGCTCTCACCACAAGCACCTGCTCTCACCACAAGCACCTGCTCTCACCACAAGCACCTGCTCTCACCACAAGCACCTGCTCTCACCACAAGCACCTGCTCTCACCACAAGCACCTGCTCTCACCACAAGCACCTGCTCTCACCACAAGCACCTGCTCTCACCACCAGCACGTGCTCTCACCACCACCAGCACCTGCTCTCACCACCACCAGCACCTGCTCTCACCACAAGCACCTGCTCTCACCACCAGCACCTGCTCTCACCACCACCAGCACCTGCTCTCACCACAAGCAAGTGCTCTCACCACCACCAGCACCTGCTCTCACCACAAGCACGTGCTCTCACCACCACAAGCACCTGCTCCCACCACAAGCACCTGCTCTCACCACCAGCACTTGCTCTCACCACCAGCATCTGCTCTCACCACAAGCACCTGCTCTCACCACAAGCACCTGCTCTCACCACAAGCACCTGCTCTCACCACCACAAGCACCTGCTCTCACCACAAGCACCTGCTCTCACCACAAGCACCTGCTCTCACCACAAGCACCTGCTCTCACCACCAGCACCTGCTCTCACCACCACCAGCACCTGCTCTCACCACAAGCACCTGCTCTCACCACCACAAGCACCTGCTCTCACCACCACCAGCACCTGCTCTCACCACAAGCACCTGCTCTCACCACAAGCACCTGCTCTCACCACCAGCACCTGCTCTCAAAACCACCAGCACCTGCTCTCACCACCAGCACCTGCTCTCACCACCACAAGCACCTGCTCTCACCACCACCAGCACCTGCTCTCACCACAAGCACCTGCTCTCACCACCAGCACCTGCTCTCACCACCACCAGCACCTGCTCTCACCACAAGCACGTGCTCTCACCACCACCAGCACCTGCTCTCACCACAAGCACGTGCTCTCACCACCACAAGCACCTGCTCCCACCACAAGCACCTGCTCTCACCACCAGCACCTGCTCTCACCACCAGCATCTGCTCTCACCACAAGCACCTGCTCTCACCACAAGCACCTGCTATCACCACAAGCACCTGCTCTCACCACCACAAGCACCTGCTCTCACCACAAGCACCTGCTCTCACCACAAGCACCTGCTCTCACCACAAGCACCTGCTCTCACCACCAGCACCTGCTCTCAAAACCACCAGCACCTGCTCTCACCACAAGCACCTGCTCTCACCACCACAAGCACCTGCTCTCACCACCACCAGCACCTGCTCTCACCACCACCAGCACCTGCTCTCACCACAAGCACCTGCTCTCACCACCAGCACCTGCTCTCACCACCACCAGCACCTGCTCTCACCACCACCAGCACCTGCTCTCACCACAAGCACCTGCTCTCACCACCAGCACCTGCTCTCACCACCACCAGCACCTGCTCTCACCACAAGCACGTGCTCTCACCACCACCAGCACCTGCTCTCACCACAAGCACGTGCTTTCACCACCACAAGCACCTGCTCCCACCACAAGCACCTGCTCTCACCACCAGCACCTGCTCTCACCACCAGCATCTGCTCTCACCACAAGCACCTGCTCTCACCACAAGCACCTGCTCTCACCACAAGCACCTGCTCTCACCACAAGCACCTGCTCTCACCACCAGCACCTGCTCTCAAAACCACCAGCACCTGCTCTAACCACAAGCACCTGCTCTCACCACCACAAGCACCTGCTCTCACCACCACCAGCACCTGCTCTCACCACAAGCACCTGCTCTCACCACAAGCACCTGCTCTCACCACCAGCACCTGCTCTCAAAACCACCAGCACCTGCTCTCACCACAAGCACCTGCTCTCACGACCACAAGCACCTGCTCTCACCACCACCAGCACCTGCTCTCACCACCACCAGCACCTGCTCTCACCACAAGCACCTGCTCTCACCACCAGCACCTGCTCTCACCACCACCAGCACCTGCTCTCACCACAAGCACGTGCTCTCACCACCAGCAGCACCTGCTCTCACCACAAGCACGTGCTCTCACCACCACAAGCACCTGCTCTCACCACAAGCACCTGCTCTCACCACAAGCACCTGCTCTCACCACAAGCACCTGCTCTCACCACCAGCACCTGCTCTCAAAACCACCAGCACCTGCTCTCACCACAAGCACCTGCTCTCACCACCACAAGCACCTGCTCTCACCACCACCAGCACCTGCTCTCACCACAAGCACCTGCTCTCACCACAAGCACCTGCTCTCACCACCAGCACCTGCTCTCAAAACCACCAGCACCTGCTCTCACCACAAGCACCTGCTCTCACCACCACAAGCACCTGCTCTCACCACCACCAGCACCTGCTCTCACCACCACCAGCACCTGCTCTCACCACAAGCACCTGCTCTCACCACCAGCACCTGCTCTCACCACCACCAGCACCTGCTCTCACCATAAGCACGTGCTCTCACCACCACCAGCACCTGCTCTCACCACAAGCACGTGCTCTCACCACCACAAGCACCTGCTCCCACCACAAGCACCTGCTCTCACCACCAGCACCTGCTCTCACCACCAGCATCTGCTCTCACCACAAGCACCTGCTCTCACCACAAGCACCTGCTCTCACCACAAGCACCTGCTCTCACCACCACCAGCACCTGCTCTCACCACAAGCACCTGCTCTCACCACCAGCACCTGCTCTCAAAACCACCAGCACCTGCTCTCACCACAAGCACCTGCTCTCACCACCACAAGCACCTGCTCTCACCACCACAAGCACCTGCTCTCACCACCACCAGCACCTGCTCTCACCACAAGCACCTGCTCTCATCACAAGCACCTGCTCTCACCACCAGCACCTGCTCTCAAAACCACCAGCACCTGCTCTCACCACAAGCACCTGCTCTCACCACCACAAGCACCTGCTCTCACCACCACCAGCACCTGCTCTCACCACCACCAGCACCTGCTCTCACCACAAGCACCTGCTCTCACCACCAGCACCTGCTCTCACCACCACCAGCACCTGCTCTCACCACAAGCACGTGCTCTCACCACCACCAGCACCTGCTCTCACCACAAGCACGTGCTCTCACCACCACAAGCACCTGCTCCCACCACCACAAGCACCTGCTCTCACCACCACCAGCACCTGCTCTCACCACAAGCACCTGCTCTCATCACAAGCACCTGCTCTCACCACCAGCACCTGCTCTCAAAACCACCAGCACCTGCTCTCACCACAAGCACCTGCTCTCACCACCACAAGCACCTGCTCTCACCACCACCAGCACCTGCTCTCACCACCACCAGCACCTGCTCTCACCACAAGCACCTGCTCTCACCACCAGCACCTGCTCTCACCACCACCAGCACCTGGTCTCACCACAAGCACCTGCTCTCACCACCACCAGCACCTGCTCTCACCACAAGCACCTGCTCTCACCACCAGCACCTGCTCTCACCACCAGCATCTGCTCTCACCACAAGCACCTGCTCTCACCACAAGCACCTGCTCTCACCACAAGCACCTGCTCTCACCACCACAAGCACCTGCTCTCACCACCACCAGCACCTGCTCTCACCACCACCAGCACCTGCTCTCACCACAAGCACCTGCTCTCACCACCACAAGCACCTGCTCTCACCACCACCAGCACCTGCTCTCACCACAAGCACCTGCTCTCACCACAAGCACCTGCTCTCACCACCAGCACCTGCTCTCAAAACCACCAGCACCTGCTCTCACCACAAGCACCTGCTCTCACCACCACAAGCACCTGCTCTCACCACCACCAGCACCTGCTCTCACCACAAGCACCTGCTCTCACCACAAGCACCTGCTCTCACCACCAGCACCTGCTCTCAAAACCACCAGCACCTGCTCTCACCACAAGCACCTGCTCTCACCACCACAAGCACCTGCTCTCACCATCACCAGCACCTGCTCTCACCACAAGCATCTGCTCTCACCACAAGCACCTGCTCTCACCACAAGCACCTGCTCTCACCACAAGCACCTGCTCTCACCACCACAAGCACCTGCTCTCACCACCACCAGCACCTGCTCTCACCACAAGCACCTGCTCTCACCACAAGCACCTGCTCTCACCACAAGCACCTGCTCTCACCACCACAAGCACCTGCTCTCACCACCACCAGCACCTGCTCTCACCACAAGCACCTGCTCTCACCACAAGCACCTGCTCTCACCACCAGCACCTGCTCTCAAAACCACCAGAACCTGCTCTCACCACAAGCACCTGCTCTCACCACCACAAGCACCTGCTCTCACCACCACCAGCACCTGCTCTCACCACAGTGGCGTCGGCATCAGCAGCAGGGGCAGGAGAGGCACCAGAGGTGAGGTCAAAGAGGGAGAGACCGTCTGCCCTATCGCACTGTAGGAAAAGCTGCAGGTCATCTACCCAGACGTCAAAGTCAATGGCCCGACCCTCAGCGTCAAAAGCGAGGACACTAGGGGTAGCCATGACAGCAGTAGACTAGCAGCGCGAGCAGTAGGGTAAGGGCAGTGCAGTGACAGAGGCGCTGCTCTTACCAGACAGGGCGGCTCGAGCGGCTCGGCGGGTCGGCAACTCGGCGGCTCGGGCGGCTCGGGCGGCTCGGCGGTACGGCGGCTCGGCAGCAACTGCGGCTCGGCGACTCGGCGGCTCGGGCGGCTCGGCGGTACGGCGGCTCGGCAGCAACTGCAGCTCGGCGGCTCGGCGACCCGGCGGCTCGGGCGGCTCAGGTGGCGCGGCGGCTCGGGCGGCTCTGGTGGATCGGGCGGCTCGGCAGTAGCTGGGCGGCGCCGGCGGCTCGGTGGTGACGGCGGGGCCGCGTGGGGACGGCGGCGGGGCCGGGTGGAGCGGCGGCGGGGCTGGGTGGAGCGGCGTCGGGGCCGGGTGGAGCGGCGTCGGGGCCAGTAGAGGCGGCGCCGGGGCCGGGAAACGCAGCTCCGGGGCCGGGAAGGGCAGCTCCGGGGCCGCAGGGGTAGGCGACGGGGCCAGTAGAGGCGGCGCCGAGGCAGGGAAGGGCGGCGCCGAGGCAGGGAAGGGCGGCGCCGGGGCCGCAGGGGTAGGCGACGGGGCCGCGAGGACGGCTAGGAGGGGGGGGGTCGCGAGGGCGGCTTGAAGAGGCCGCGAGGGCGGCTAGAAAGGGTCGCGAGGGCGGCGTGAAAGGGCCGCGAGGCGGCGCGACACGAAGGAGCCGCGAGGGCGGTGGATCGGGGCCGCGAGGGCGGCGCGACGTGCAGGGGCCGCGAGGGCGACGCGACGGGGCCGCAGGCGCGACGCGACGGGGCCGCTAAGGCGGCGCGACAGGGTCGAGAGAGGGGAGCGCGACTCGGGCAGTGTAGAGCGTGCTCCGGGCAGGAAAAAAAAAAGGTGGTGGGCCCTAGGAACAGTTCCCACATGGGAACCTGCTCGATACCATGAGAAACTGAACGAGAATGACTAAGGGAAAGTTGGGTACAAATGTAAACCCTAGAAAACTGTACCCCATATGTGCTACCCCACTATAGCCTACAGTAGCTATGTCATATAAATCTGACAGTAGATGGCTATTTCGGCGTGACTGACTGGGGATGTACCTAGACAGCCGAAACACGACTCCTACACGAATCAAAAATAGCTCGATTTCAGCCTACACCCTCGTTAGTACGCTGAGCAATCAGTGTACACTTGGAAAAAATCTCTGAAATATCAGCCAATACATTAAAAGAAAAGCTGAAATATCAGCCCATGCATTCTCCCCATGTCTGAAAAATCAGCCTTCCGACCCTAAATCAGCCTTTTTTCGCTGACATCTGAGGCCCTGGGGTAAAACTACAAACGACCCAAATAGAGTCCCCCCCCCCTCCCCCCCCGCCTTCCTGGGGGGGGGTCTACAACTGCAGGGGGTCTTATATCGGGGGTTTTATGGTATATCAAGATTTCTTACACGTTTACATTATCTTGCAATCTGGCTTGACCTACATTACAAAAGTTCCCACACCTCAGGGTTATACAACCTACAACACACAGAGTATGCATGGTCATGGCCCCTACTGGCAGTAATGCTGCAGGACCACACAATTCCACCTGCCTTTCCTCCGACCGCAGTGTGAGGTGTGCATCACGTGCACGCCCCCACAATGGCATCTCCATCCAGATCATCCCACGCCACCAACCGGACCCCAAACTGCCCCTTCACCACCAGCCTCAACAACTCTGCAAGCGCATGCCGTTTCTGAGAATTCTCCAAACACCCTCCAAATCCGGCAGCGCATGCCGGTTGCGGCCGTGGCTATGAGGATGGATGAGTGTGGGGGCACAGAGCATGGTGGTGGTGGGGGTGGTGATGGTGGTGGTGTGGGGTTGTGTGGTGGTGGAACTGGGGGATGAATTTGGGTGGGAGATGGGAGGTTCAAGGGATGTGGAGCAGGGAGGGGGGAACGAGGAGGCTGCGGCAGAAGCAGGTACTGAAAGTGCGCAAGCATCCCTTTGCATTGCCCCAGCGCAGAGCCTGGATGTGCATGGTGTTGTGCAGTGCGTTAACCTGCACGTTGCGGTGCAGCAGAGGCACCGTTATGCCCGGAGGAGGCTAGAGGGGGAGGGGGGGGGGGAGTGTGGGAGAGAGGAGATGTAGGGAGGCAAAAAAGAGGGGCGCGGAGAAGGGGGGGAAAGGGACCGGCGGAGCAAGAAGAATTCAACCTGGCTGATTCAGAAACAGCACAGCCACAAGTGAATCAAGGGAGCGTGCAGTGCAGTGCGCGAAGAGTGTGGCAGAAGGCAGGTGCTCATCATGTGTGCAGTGTTGTGTAGTGCAGGGCGTGTAGTGCAGGGCGTGTAACACACCAAGCAGGCCACAACCAGCATCAATTTCAATGCACGTCCTGCCATGTAACACCAGGTGTGCATGGCAGGAGGGGAGAGGAGGGGCGGAAGGAGGGACGAGGAGACAGTAGGTGGAAGGAAGGGTGGGTAGAAGCAGCCAAAGGAGGGTGGGAAGTCACATGGAATGACAACACCATACATGCTCGTATTGTGCGAGAGCAAATGCAATGTAGCACATGCTGCCTACATGTGTGTGGACAAAACATAATGGCAAATACCTCCGCACATAGCAGGACAAACCACAATGCATGCTTGTACCGTGCGTGACATGCGCATTTAAAATGGAATGTGCTACAAACAAAGACCGGGATGCGCATGGAATGGCACCATCGCGCATGCTCCTACTGTCGTGAACCACATGCGCACCCTACTATCGTGGACCACATGCGCACAGACATTCTCATAACAAAATGCGCATGAAATGATACAACATGCCGTGTGAGAGCTCGGTTGTTCAGTAGACTGGCACGACTGGGTGATAGACTGGCACGGCTGGGTGATACGCTGACGTAGTGGACTGGCTGACGTAGTCGACTGGCTGACGTAGTCGACTTGCTGACGTAGTCGACTGGCTGACGTAGTCGATGTTGGTGCAACCCTACGGTTTGCATTCGGCTTGTTGTCCGTGTGCGTGCATGCGTGTGTGCATGGAATGGTATGAGGGCATGAAATAATATATATTTCATGTTTACAATAGTGTGTGTATGATGAAGCATGATTTTGAATGTGTGCGTCGAGTCAATAGCGAGTTATCGCTAGTCGCGTGTCACGTCGTCGTTTGCGTGTCGTGTGCGGTTTTCTATTTTGTCGTGTGTGGAACGTTCGGCGTGTCGCAGGTGTGCGCAGCAGACTTCCAAGAACTCAAGGAAGAATTTACATTGAAGAACCAGAGCCTTGGTTTCAAGATTCAAGTTATTTCGAAGCTCTCCAAAAGGGTAAACTTTAAGATAGTGAGAATAGTTGCATTACTTTGTGTAGTGTAACATTTCTCTTGGTGTAGGCCCTTGTGGAGGGTAGTTTGGAGACCCTTCGTGGTTGGGGACAGTGTGGCACTGTTCCACATCACTGTACCTCGGCTCTTGGGGTTTGTAGGAGCTGGGAGTCATTCCCAACTCGTAACTCTTCCTATCTTGTGTTCTAAGACTATAGTGGCTGCCATAGTACCGTTCGTTCAAACCGACGCTGTGTCGTCAATTCTTTATGAAATCGTGCAATCTAAATTGCTTAATGTAGGCGACGTCAAGACGCTCCAGATCCAATTTGAATCAAGTCATTTGCAGCTGTGAGCAGAACGCTATCAACGTTTGAAGCCGCTGTGCAGAAATCCGTCTGTGCACTCTATCTTTCGTTTTAGGCACATTCAAGGCTATTGTGACTATAAGAAGTGGTATCAGAGCCCCTTGGAGCAGTTTCGACAATGGATGGACCTGAGGAAAGGGGTGGCAGAGTTGCTGGTGGCAGTGGAGAAGCCCAAGCTCAAGGCCAACCCCGTGATTCAGCCATGGCGCCCATGCAACCAAGTCTTGGCCCACCTAGGGATGAGCCTAGGGTGTTTGGGCTTGACAAGTTCAACGGTGACAACTTTGCTGAATGGTCCTTCAAGATGGAGAACATCTTTGACCACTATGACCTGCTGGAGGTGATGGAAGGAACGGAGAAGCGCCCCGAGAACGACCCGGAGAAGAGCCCGTGGGTGCGGAAGAGCGCACAAGGCTATCTCCTACTTGGGCAAGCGTTGGGGAGCAGCCAGATCCGTCACATCAAACCATTCCAGCGTGAACCAGAGAAGGGACCAAAGGCATGGGCTGCTCTCAAGGGTGTACATGCTCCTGCAACAGCGGCGGTAGCGGTGGTGTTGGAACGGCAAATGGCGGCACTACGAATTGAAGAAGACGAAGCGGTTGAAGAAGGGGTGCAGAAATTCTTCGACTTGTTGACGCGGCTTGAGGGAGCTGATTTGAACTACAGTGAGCTCCAAAAGAAGACCAAGTTGCTGGCCTTACTCCCAGAGTCATGGTCCTCTCTCATCATCAACCTCAATCGTGACTTGCCCCACCTCTCGCTCGAAGACGTGAAGCGAGCGATCCTTCAAGAGGATTTCCGTCGCCGTGAGTTGGCGAGTGCGGATGGCGCCGGGGCAGCAAGCATCGGCCGTGGATATGGCCGTGGAAAGGGCAGAGGACGAGGAGGAGGAAGGTTTGGAGGCAGCAACTTCAACGGAGGCCGCGGGAGTAGCGGATACGGCAATGACAACAAGAACAACGGACGCGGTCGCGGACGGTTCGACGGCGAGTGTCATTTTTGCCACAAGAGCGGACACATGTGGCGCGATTGCTACAAACTCCCTGATGGATGGACTCCTGCTCAAGGCCAAGAGGGTAGAGGAGCAGGAGGAGGGAGAGGAAGAGGCCGTGGAGGCCGTGGCGGTCGCGGAGGTGGTGCTGCAAGTATGAAGAGTGCCGGCAACGAGAGCGAGTCGAGGGACGATCGCTTCCCGGGTCAATTCTTCTTCGTGTCCACGCAAGCACCGGCTGGTCCAGAGAATGATGAAAGCTTTGAGGAGCCAGCAGCTGTGGGGAAGGTCACCCTACACTCCCTGGACTACTGGGTGATCGATAGCGGCGCTACCTATAGCATGACACCTCGTGCGGACTTGCTCACCGAACTTGAGCCGTCACCGGTGAAGCATGTGACATCGGCTTTGGGGCAGCGAGCAGAGGTGAAAGGCATGGGCAAGGCCATGTTCAAGGGTGCTGATGGGAAGATGGTGGGCCTCAAGAACGTGCTTTGGGTGCCCAACCTTGCTGCCAACCTGATTTCCGTGCGGCGGTTGCAAAAGGCCGGCATGGACACGAGCTCGAAAGGAGCTAAGACCTACACCGCGAGGCTTGGCGAGCAGATTCTTTGGGACCTTCACGAGGATAGGGATGTCTACAACGAGATGTGGCAAATCCCTGTGGTCCCCATGCCTAAGGAGAGGCAAGTGGCAGCAAGCATCAGCACCAAGGGTGAAGCGGTTGGTAGCGGCGATGGCGCGAACGGTCGCGCTAAGGAGATAAAGTCCAAGAAGTGCAATCTTGGAGGGACCAGCAAGCTCGGTGAACATGAGGAGAGTGGTGCAGCAGCTCAGAAGCAGCACAAGGGTGAGGAGAACCCCAAGGCAGCAGCGGAGGAGGAGTACGGAGAGAACATGTGGGGCACTATTGCGAGTGCGGCATTCTCCAATCCGACTTCGGCTACGGGGGAGTGTGATTGGCTCACCTTGCATCGGCGCATGGGGCATGTGGCCCTGCCCATCTTGCAGCAGCTAGTGAAGAATGAGATGGTTGCTGGCATACGTGTGAAGGGGGAGCCCGATGAGGTACTTGGCTGCCCGACGTGCATGCAAGCCAAGTTCACCCGTTTCCCATTCTCTAGTTCGGAGGCAACGGCTAAGGCACCACTTGATGAGGTGGTGATGGACGTGGTGGGCCCCCTGAAGCTTGGAGCTGCTGGAGCTGAGTACTTTCTCACCATTGTGGACGTCTACACTCGCATGACTTGGGTGTACGTGCTGTCCAAGAAGAGTGACGTGGCTGAAACGGTGAAGACCGATTGGTTGCCGATGGTGGAGCGGCAACAAGACCGGCTAGTGAAGGCAATCCGCACCGATCGAGGGGGAGAGTTCTTGAGCAAGGAGTTTGGATTGTGGCTGAAGAAGAATGGCATAAGGCACTCCCTTACCATGCCATACTCCCCTGCAATGAACGGCATTGCCGAGCGAGCGAACCGGACAATCACGGAGACGGCGCGCGGGTTGCTCATTGAAGCCGGGCTACCCGAATATTTCTGGCCTGATGCGGTGCGGAGTGCATGTGTGGCCAAGAACAGAGCTTTGACTCATGTGGGAGCAGACAAATGGGTGCCCTATGTGGAGTGGATTGGAAGGAAGCCAAAGGTGGATATGCTTCGGGTGTTCGGGTGCATGTGCATGGCGCTCGTGCCTAAGCATCTTCGGCACAACAAGCTCGGTGCCAACGCGATATGGGCTGTGCACTTGGGCATGGCTCAAAACAGCAAGGGGTGGCTTCTTTGGGACCCATTCACCAAGAAATTCTTGGTGAGCAGGGACTGCAAATTCATGGAGAATCTGATGTACAAGGATTGGAAGGCGGAGAATGAGGCGAAGATAGGCGTGCGGTTGGGGGACGTGAAGAGTTCCGGTTTGGAGCATGTGGAGCTGCCCTTGGAGCTGAGCAGCGGCAGCACCACCACAAGGCAATCTTCCCTTGTGAATGGGGGAGAGGAGGCCAAGGATGCAGAGGAAGAAGAGGAGGAGGTTCAGCAAGTGAGCGAGCGTGCACCGACACTTCCTTCTCGCACTACGAGTGCTCCACGGATCCGAGTCACCCCGCAGCAACGCCAAGGCCTTCATGTCCCTGCAGCTGAGGAAGAAGGAAGGGGCAAAAGGAGAATCCAAGCCCCAAATAGGCTGACCTATGAGGCACTCGGAAAGCCAGCCAAGTCAGCCTTGGCCGGAGCGGCACTTATAGTTGGAGAAGACGAGGAGAGTGACTACGAGGAGTGTGCCTTCGCGTTCTTCTCTCCGGTGGAGATGCCGGGGGAACCAGCAACTCTCAAGGAGGCCTTGGAGAGTAGTGATGCTGAGGAGTGGAAGAAGGCAATGGAGAGTGAGCTGAAGAGCATTGAGGAGAACGGCACATGGGAATTGGTGGAGCTACCGGAGGGGCGTAAGGCGATTACGTCCAAGTGGCTCTTCAAGATCAAGTCCGACGCCGACGGCAAGATCGAGCGCTACAAGTCTAGGCTTGTGGCGAAGGGGTACCAGCAGAAGGAGAAGGTGGACTATAAGGAGTTGTTTGCTCCTGTGGTGAAGCCGACGACGCTGCGAACCCTACTCGCGGGAGCTGCCATCAAAGGATGGGTGGTGAAACAAATGGATGTCACAACGGCATTCCTCAATGGCGTCCTTGAGGAAGAGATTTTCATGGCGCAGCCAGAGGGGTTTGATGATGGTAGTGGCAGAGTTTTGAGGCTGAAGAAGGCCCTTTATGGACTGAAGCAGGCCCCTAGGCAGTGGTACTTGAAGCTGCGAGGAGTTTTGGAGGAGATCGGCTTCACTCCCTCAACGGCCGATCACTCATTGTTCATGCTTGGCGAGGGGGAGCAGAGGAGCTTCATGGTGGTGTACGTGGATGACATCCTCATCTTTTCACCCTCATCTGACCTTGTGAAGGAGGTGATGCTGAAGCTTCAGGACAAGTTTAAGTGTAAGGCCCTTGGTGACGTCAACTTCTACCTTGGGCTTCACATTGAACGTGATGTGGAGAAGCGGTGCATGCGGGTGCATCAACGGAAGTACCTGGAGGCATTGGCTGCCAACTTTGGGCAGAGTGAAGGCCATGTGGCTACACCCTTTCCCTCTGGTTTCAAGTGTGTGAAGGGACCAGAGGAGGAGAGCGTTGGTGAAGAGGAGAGGCGCCGTTTTCACTCGTTGGTGGGCAGCCTCATGTACGCGGCGGTAAACACCCGACCGGACGTCGCGTTTGCTACCGGACAGTTGGCTAGGGTTGTTCAATGCCCTAATGAGGAGCAGGTAGCAGCTGGAATGAGAGTGGCCAAGTATCTTGGCCAAACACCGACCGTTGGGCTGCAATATTCGGCGGCGGCGCAAAGGCGCCAAAAGGGCGCGGATGGTGTTGAACCCGGGCGTTTGTTCCTCACCGCATTCTCGGATGCTTCTTTTGCATCAGAACCAGAGGACATGACAAGTGTTGGAGGGTTCATTTGCTGTGTTGGTGGAGGCCCAACTGCTTGGGAGAGCAAGAAGCAGGTGGATCAAGCATTGAGCTCGGTGGAGTCCGAGTATATGGCACTCTTCCGTGCCGTACGGGAGATTGTGTGGCAGCGGCGTTTGTTGGCTGAATTGGGGGAGGAGCAGCAAGGACCTACCCCACTCTACTGTGACAGCCAGGGTGCCATTGCTCTTGCTAAGAACCCTGTGTTGCATGGCCTCACCAAGCACATGAGGGTGAAGTGGCATTGGACGAGGAGCATGGTGGCCGCGGGTGAAGTTGAGTTGCACTATGTGAAGACGACAAGGCAGCCAGCTGACATGATGACCAAGAGGCTGGTGGAGCAGCAGCATTGGAAGTGTTGCAAGCTGGCTGGGATGGCTCTGAACTGAGAGAGCAAGATCCTAAGGCCAACAATCCGAGGGGGAGTTTGTTGGTGCAACCCTACGGTTTGCATTCGGCTTGTTGTCCGTGTGCGTGCATGCGTGTGTGCATGGAATGGTATGAGGGCATGAAATAATATATATTTCATGTTTACAATAGTGTGTGTATGATGAAGCATGATTTTGAATGTGTGCGTCGAGTCAATAGCGAGTTATCGCTAGTCGCGTGTCACGTCGTCGTTTGCGTGTCGTGTGCGGTTTTCTATTTTGTCGTGTGTGGAACGTTCGGCGTGTCGCAGGTGTGCGCAGCAGACTTCCAAGAACTCAAGGAAGAATTTACATTGAAGAACCAGAGCCTTGGTTTCAAGATTCAAGTTATTTCGAAGCTCTCCAAAAGGGTAAACTTTAAGATAGTGAGAATAGTTGCATTACTTTGTGTAGTGTAACATTTCTCTTGGTGTAGGCCCTTGTGGAGGGTAGTTTGGAGACCCTTCGTGGTTGGGGACAGTGTGGCACTGTTCCACATCACTGTACCTCGGCTCTTGGGGTTTGTAGGAGCTGGGAGTCATTCCCAACTCGTAACTCTTCCTATCTTGTGTTCTAAGACTATAGTGGCTGCCATAGTACCGTTCGTTCAAACCGACGCTGTGTCGTCAATTCTTTATGAAATCGTGCAATCTAAATTGCTTATTGTAGGCGACGTCAAGACGCTCCAGATCCAATTTGAATCAAGTCATTTGCAGCTGTGAGCAGAACGCTATCAACGTTTGAAGCCGCTGTGCAGAAATCCGTCTGTGCACTCTATCTTTCGTTTTAGGCACATTCAAGGCTATTGTGACTATAAGAGTCGACTGGCTAACGTAGTCGACTGGCTGACGTAGTCGACTGACTGACGTAGTCGACTGGCGTGAATGGAAACAACCTGAGGCAACTCAGAGCTTACCATGACGGCACCACCCTCATAGCCACCCTCACAGCCACCCTCACAGCCACCCTCACAGCCACCCTCTCCAACCATCCACACTTAACCCCCTCCTCTTCTACCTCATCAAACCCATCCTCTCATTCCGCCCACCATCCCCCGCCACCTGCATCTCCCTTTCACGTGCCCCTCCCCGCCGCCCCGCGCCCGCACTTCTCGCTCTCCGCGTCCCCCCACCTGGCAGGAAGTAGAGCCGCGAACGCAGCCTCTCGTTGCTGAGGGGTATGAGGGGTAGCGGAGGGGAAAATGACGGGAATGAGAGGGCAAAATGACGGGAAGCAGGGGGGGAGATGACGAAAAGCAGAGGGGGAATTGACGGGAAGCAGGGAGGGTAATGAAGGGATGCAGAGGGGGAAATGACGGGAATGAGAGGGCAAAATGACGGGAAGCAGAGGGGGAAATGACAAAAAGCAAATGGGGGAATGACGGGAAGCAGGGGGGTAACGAAGGGATGCAGAGGGGGAAATGACGGGAATGAGATGGGAAAATGATGGAAAGCAGAGGGGGAAAATGACGAGAATGAGGGGGGGGGAATGATGGGAAGGGGAAATGACGATGGCGGGTGAGGCGAACAGCGGGAGAGGCGAACAGCGGGAGAGGCGAAAACCCTGACAATTCCGAGAGCCTGAGACGGGCAGCGGTTCGAGAAACGGCTGCGGCGAAGTCGCGCGGGTGAGGTGAGCAGAGAGGTAGGCGAGATGAGGGTGAGGCGAGCGGCGGTGTGGCGTGAAGGCCGCACGCGTGGCCAACGCGTGCATCAGGCAAGCTTCCCAAACTGTGTGTGGGTGTAGATAAGGCTACAACCTTAAAACGCATACTATACCTATAAGGTGTGGATAAGGCGCAGCTAGCTCTGAGTTCGCTCTCAAGGCTCTCTAGTTGTTTATTCTCTCGACCCTCTGAGCTTCGCTCCTGTCGCTTGTCACGGGAGCTTTCCCATTCTGTCAACACTTCTCATCTCACTCACTGCTAACGTTCTGGTTTCAAAATATCGCCAACCCCCTCGCCAATTGTTTTGTTTTTCGTTTAAGCTATGTTCAAAGGCACACTGTTCAAACTCCACATAATGAATCACGTGAAGGAGAGCAGCCCGCCGTGACAATTGGGCAGCCCAGCCATGCCCAGCCATGCAGCGAAACGAGTCGTCCAACCAGTCGGTCGGGCTCCCTTTCGCGCCAACACTTTGGCAGCTTTGCGGAGTGGAGCGCATCACCACCACGCCTCGCTTCTCCCACAGCCCAACCTTTCCCCCGCTTCCCGCGCAGGCTCATCACATCCACGGCTCTCAAAAGCCTTTTTCAAGGGTTTGCTGACGTGGTACAACGTGTTCCCGACTGACTCCCATTTGACCGTTCCACTCGTCCCAAGGGATTTTGGTTTCATCACAGTCGGCCAGATATTTCGTACTTGCCCATTACTGATGAACCCGCCTCTCACTCACTCACGTGCTCTTCGCGTTCCCCACTCATTGCTTCGTCGTGAGCTAATCGGTTTCGCCGCTGCCTCTAGCACCGGCCGTAAGTCGGACGTCGAACGGACAGAAGCGCGTCGCTGCCTTGTGGGACGTCACTGCCTTGTGGGGCGTCACTGCCTCGTGGGGCGGAGCAGAACGAGTTTCTTCGTGACGTGAGGGTCGCCTTCCATCGTCATGAATCATGGCGGACGCGACCGCCCGAGGAGGTGAGGCATCGCTTCCTTTCTTTCCTCACAACATGCACTCGCAGCATGCACGCGCAGTAGTACTATCATGCGTCGCACAGCAACACGCCGTGCACTGCGTCGCACAGCAACACGCCGTGTACTATCATGCGTCGCCAGCGCTTTAGTCGAATCGCTGTGCAACGGTTCCCCACCCCGCAGCGGTAGCTCGTCGCTGTCAACCTCCGCGTCTCGTCGTGCGCCATGCGGGACGCGACCTCGCCGTCTAGAGAATGAACTGGTTGGACGGTTAGAATGAACTGGTTGGACGGTTAGAATGAACTGGTTGGACGGTTAGAATGAACTGGTTGGACGGTTAGAATTGTCGACATTGTCAACCGCCGCCGCACGGGTCAAGTCACATTCGGTACAACGTCGAGACACATTTGGGTACAAATTTTATGTTACCACGCACTCTCAGCTCACCATCACTCCGAGCCACGCGCGCATAGACTTTCTGCGGAATTTCTCCGCCCACCGTGTCGCTATTGTAGCCCGATTCCACAGCTACACTCGCTGCTGCCTCGCCTGCACGTCGGATGGCCGTCCAGCTGTCTGCCAGCTGTCAGCTTGTCAACGTGGCTCTTTCGATGCCTCGAGTAAGAGCGTCCCTAGGCGTCATCACTCACGGCGTCACTACTCGCGGCGCCATCACCTTTGCTCCTCTGCCGCGTGCCCTTCGCAGGTCCCCGCGCCAGCAGCCTGGGGGGAGGCAGCCCGAGGGGAGGCAGCCCGAGGGGAGGCAGCCCGTGCGGAGGCAGCTCGAGGGGAGGCAGCCCGAGGGGAGGCAGGCCGGGGGGAGGCAGGCCGGGGGAGGGCGGGCCGGGGGGAGGCGGGCTGCAGCGGGTAGCGGAGGAGCGGTGCAAGCGGGCGACGGCGGTGAGCGGGCGAGGGAGGAGCGCGAGGTGCTGCTGCTGGTGACGAGCGCCGAGTCCAACATGCAGCTCGTCCTCGCCGAGATCTCCTCGCGCTCCCGCCTCGCTCCCGGTGAGAGCAGGTGCTTGTGGTGAGAGCAGGTGCTTGTGGTGAGAGCAGGTGCTTGTGGTGAGAGCAGGTGCTTGTGGTGAGAGCAGGTGCTTGTGGTGAGAGCAGGTGCTTGTGGTGAGAGCAGGTGCTTGTGGTGAGAGCAGGTGCTTGTGGTGAGAGCAGGTGCTTGTGGTGAGAGCAGGTGCTTGTGGTGAGAGCAGGTGCTTGTGGTGAGAGCAGGTGCTTGTGGTGAGAGCAGGTGCTTGTGGTGAGAGCAGGTGCTTGTGGTGAGAGCAGGTGCTTGTGGTGAGAGCAGGTGCTTGTGGTGAGAGCAGGTGCTTGTGGTGAGAGCAGGTGCTTGTGGTGAGAGCAGGTGCTTGTGGTGAGAGCAGGTGCTTGTGGTGAGAGCAGGTGCTTGTGGTGAGAGCAGGTGCTTGTGGTGAGAGCAGGTGCTTGTGGTGAGAGCAGGTGCTTGTGGTGAGAGCAGGTGCTTGTGGTGAGAGCAGGTGCTTGTGGTGAGAGCAGGTGCTTGTGGTGAGAGCAGGTGCTTGTGGTGAGAGCAGGTGCTTGTGGTGAGAGCAGGTGCTTGTGGTGAGAGCAGGTGCTTGTGGTGAGAGCAGGTGCTTGTGGTGAGAGCAGGTGCTTGTGGTGAGAGCAGGTGCTTGTGGTGAGAGCAGGTGCTTGTGGTGAGAGCAGGTGCTTGTGGTGAGAGCAGGTGCTTGTGGTGAGAGCAGGTGCTTGTGGTGAGAGCAGGTGCTTGTGGTGAGAGCAGGTGCTTGTGGTGAGAGCAGGTGCTTGTGGTGAGAGCAGGTGCTTGTGGTGAGAGCAGGTGCTTGTGGTGAGAGCAGGTGCTTGTGGTGAGAGCAGGTGCTTGTGGTGAGAGCAGGTGCTTGTGGTGAGAGCAGGTGCTTGTGGTGAGAGCAGGTGCTTGTGGTGAGAGCAGGTGCTTGTGGTGAGAGCAGGTGCTTGTGGTGAGAGCAGGTGCTTGTGGTGAGAGCAGGTGCTTGTGGTGAGAGCAGGTGCTTGTGGTGAGAGCAGGTGCTTGTGGTGAGAGCAGGTGCTTGTGGTGAGAGCAGGTGCTTGTGGTGAGAGCAGGTGCTTGTGGTGAGAGCAGGTGCTTGTGGTGAGAGCAGGTGCTTGTGGTGAGAGCAGGTGCTTGTGGTGAGAGCAGGTGCTTGTGGTGAGAGCAGGTGCTTGTGGTGAGAGCAGGTGCTTGTGGTGAGAGCAGGTGCTTGTGGTGAGAGCAGGTGCTTGTGGTGAGAGCAGGTGCTTGTGGTGAGAGCAGGTGCTTGTGGTGAGAGCAGGTGCTTGTGGTGAGAGCAGGTGCTTGTGGTGAGAGCAGGTGCTTGTGCTTGTGGTGAGAGCAGGTGCTTGTGGTGAGAGCAGGTGCTGGTGGTGAGAGCAGGTGCTTGTGGTGAGAGCAGGTGCTTGTGGTGAGAGCAGGTGCTGGTGATGGTGAGAGCAGGTGCTTGTGGTGGTGAGAGCAGGTGCTTGTGGTGAGAGCAGGTGCTGGTGGTTTTGAGAGCAGGTGCTGGTGGTGAGAGCAGGTGCTTGTGGTGAGAGCAGGTGCTTGTGGTGAGAGCAGGTGCTGGTGGTGGTGAGAGCAGGTGCTTGTGGTGGTGAGAGCAGGTGCTTGTGGTGAGAGCAGGTGCTGGTGGTTTTGAGAGCAGGTGCTGGTGGTGAGTGCAGGTGCTTGTGGTGAGAGCAGGTGCTTGTGGTGAGAGCAGGTGCTGGTGGTGGTGAGAGCAGGTGCTTGTGGTGGTGAGAGCAGGTGCTTGTGGTGAGAGCAGGTGCTGGTGGTTTTGAGAGCAGGTGCTGGTGGTTTTGAGAGCAGGTGCTGGTGGTGAGAGCAGGTGCTTGTGGTGGTGAGAGCAGGTGCTTGTGGTGAGAGCAGGTGCTGGTGGTTTTGAGAGCAGGTGCTGGTGGTGAGAGCAGGTGCTTGTGGTGAGAGCAGGTGCTTGTGGTGAGAGCAGGTGCTGGTGGTGGTGAGAGCAGGTGCTTGTGGTGGTGAGAGCAGGTGCTTGTGGTGAGAGCAGGTGCTTGTGGTGAGAGCAGGTGCTGGTGGTTTTGAGAGCAGGTGCTGGTGGTGAGAGCAGGTGCTTGTGGTGAGAGCAGGTGCTTGTGGTGAGAGCAGGTGGTGGTGGTGGTGAGAGCAGGTGCTTGTGGTGGTGAGAGCAGGTGCTTGTGGTGAGAGCAGGTGCTGGTGGTTTTGAGAGCAGGTGCTGGTGGTGAGAGCAGGTGCTTGTGGTGAGAGCAGGTGCTTGTGGTGAGAGCAGGTGCTGGTGGTGGTGAGAGCAGGTGCTTGTGGTGGTGAGAGCAGGTGCTTGTGGTGAGAGCAGGTGCTTGTGGTGAGAGCAGGTGCTTGTGGTGAGAGCAGGTGCTGGTGGTGAGAGCAGGTGCTTGTGGTGAGAGCAGGTGCTTGTGGTGAGAGCAGGTGCTGGTGATGGTGAGAGCAGGTGCTTGTGGTGGTGAGAGCAGGTGCTTGTGGTGAGAGCAGGTGCTGGTGGTTTTGAGAGCAGGTGCTGGTGGTGAGAGCAGGTGCTTGTGGTGAGAGCAGGTGCTTGTGGTGAGAGCAGGTGCTGGTGGTGGTGAGAGCAGGTGCTTGTGGTGGTGAGAGCAGGTGCTTGTGGTGAGAGCAGGTGCTGGTGGTTTTGAGAGCAGGTGCTGGTGGTGAGAGCAGGTGCTTGTGGTGAGAGCAGGTGCTTGTGGTGAGAGCAGGTGCTGGTGGTGGTGAGAGCAGGTGCTTGTGGTGGTGAGAGCAGGTGCTTGTGGTGAGAGCAGGTGCTGGTGGTTTTGAGAGCAGGTGCTGGTGGTTTTGAGAGCAGGTGCTGGTGGTGAGAGCAGGTGCTTGTGGTGGTGAGAGCAGGTGCTTGTGGTGAGAGCAGGTGCTGGTGGTTTTGAGAGCAGGTGCTGGTGGTGAGAGCAGGTGCTTGTGGTGAGAGCAGGTGCTTGTGGTGAGAGCAGGTGCTGGTGGTGGTGAGAGCAGGTGCTTGTGGTGGTGAGAGCAGGTGCTTGTGGTGAGAGCAGGTGCTTGTGGTGAGAGCAGGTGCTGGTGGTTTTGAGAGCAGGTGCTGGTGGTGAGAGCAGGTGCTTGTGGTGAGAGCAGGTGCTTGTGGTGAGAGCAGGTGGTGGTGGTGGTGAGAGCAGGTGCTTGTGGTGGTGAGAGCAGGTGCTTGTGGTGAGAGCAGGTGCTGGTGGTTTTGAGAGCAGGTGCTGGTGGTGAGAGCAGGTGCTTGTGGTGAGAGCAGGTGCTTGTGGTGAGAGCAGGTGCTGGTGGTGGTGAGAGCAGGTGCTTGTGGTGGTGAGAGCAGGTGCTTGTGGTGAGAGCAGGTGCTTGTGGTGAGAGCAGGTGCTTGTGGTGAGAGCAGGTGCTGGTGGTGGTGAGAGCAGGTGCTTGTGGTGGTGAGAGCAGGTGCTTGTGGTGGTGAGAGCAGGTGCTTGTGGTGAGAGCAGGTGCTTGTGGTGAGAGCAGGTGCTTGTGGTGAGAGCAGGTGCTTGTGGTGAGAGCAGGTGCTGGTGGTGAGAGCAGGTGCTTGTGGTGAGAGCAGGTGCTTGTGGTGAGAGCAGGTGCTGGTGGTTTTGAGAGCAGGTGCTGGTGGTGAGAGCAGGTGCTTGTGGTGAGAGCAGGTGCTTGTGGTGAGAGCAGGTGCTGGTGGTGGTGAGAGCAGGTGCTTGTGGTGGTAAGAGCAGGTGCTTGTGGTGAGAGCAGGTGCTGGTGGTTTTGAGAGCAGGTGCTGGTGGTGAGAGCAGGTGCTGGTGGTTTTGAGAGCAGGTGCTGGTGGTGAGAGCAGGTGCTTGTGGTGAGAGCAGGTGCTTGTGGTGAGAGCAGGTGCTGGTGGTGGTGAGAGCAGGTGCTTGTGGTGGTGAGAGCAGGTGCTTGTGGTGAGAGCAGGTGCTTGTGGTGAGAGCAGGTGCTTGTGGTGAGAGCAGGTGCTGGTGGTGGTGAGAGCAGGTGCTGGTGGTGGTGAGAGCAGGTGCTTGTGGTGGTGAGAGCAGGTGCTTGTGGTGAGAGCAGGTGCTTGTGGTGAGAGCAGGTGCTTGTGGTGAGAGCAGATGCTGGTGGTGAGAGCAGGTGCTGGTGGTGAGAGCAGGTGCTTGTGGTGGGAGCAGGTGCTTATGGTGGTGAGAGCACGTGCTTGTGGTGAGAGCAGGTGCTTGTGGTGAGAGCAGGTGCTTGTGGTGAGAGCAGGTGCTTGTGGTGAGAGCAGGTGCTTGTGGTGAGAGCAGGTGCTTGTGGTGAGAGCAGGTGCTGGTGGTGGTGAGAGCAGGTGCTTGTGGTGGTGAGAGCAGGTGCTTGTGGTGAGAGCAGGTTCTGGTGGTTTTGAGAGCAGGTGCTGGTGGTGAGAGCAGGTGCTTGTGGTGAGAGCAGGTGCTTGTGGTGAGAGCAGGTGCTGGTGGTGGTGAGAGCAGGTGCTTGTGGTGGTGAGAGCAGGTGCTTGTGGTGAGAGCAGGTGCTTGTGGTGAGAGCAGGTGCTTGTGGTGAGAGCAGGTGCTGGTGGTGGTGAGAGCAGGTGCTTGTGGTGGTGAGAGCAGGTGCTTGTGGTGAGAGCAGGTGCTTGTGGTGAGAGCAGGTGCTTGTGGTGAGAGCAGATGCTGGTGGTGAGAGCAGGTGCTGGTGGTGAGAGCAGGTGCTTGTGGTGAGAGCAGGTGCTTGTGGTGAGAGCAGGTGCTGGTGGTGGTGAGAGCAGGTGCTTGTGGTGGTGAGAGCAGGTGCTTGTGGTGAGAGCAGGTGCTGGTGGTTTTGAGAGCAGGTGCTGGTGGTGAGAGCAGGTGCTTGTGGTGGTGAGAGCAGGTGCTTGTGGTGAGAGCAGGTGCTGGTGGTTTTGAGAGCAGGTGCTGGTGGTGAGAGCAGGTGCTTGTGGTGAGAGCAGGTGCTTGTGGTGAGAGCAGATGCTGGTGGTGAGAGCAGGTGCTGGTGGTGAGAGCAGGTGCTTGTGGTGAGAGCAGGTGCTTGTGGTGAGAGCAGGTGCTGGTGGTGGTGAGAGCAGGTGCTTGTGGTGGTGAGAGCAGGTGCTTGTGGTGAGAGCAGGTGCTGGTGGTTTTGAGAGCAGGTGCTGGTGGTGAGAGCAGGTGCTTGTGGTGGTGAGAGCAGGTGCTTGTGGTGAGAGCAGGTGCTGGTGGTTTTGAGAGCAGGTGCTGGTGGTGAGAGCAGGTGCTTGTGGTGAGAGCAGGTGCTTGTGGTGAGAGCAGGTGCTGGTGGTGGTGAGAGCAGGTGCTTGTGGTGGTGAGAGCAGGTGCTTGTGGTGAGAGCAGGTGCTTGTGGTGAGAGCAGGTGCTGGTGGTTTTGAGAGCAGGTGCTGGTGGTGAGAGCAGGTGCTTGTGGTGAGAGCAGGTGCTTGTGATGAGAGCAGGTGGTGGTGGTGGTGAGAGCAGGTGCTTGTGGTGGTGAGAGCAGGTGCTTGTGGTGAGAGCAGGTGCTGGTGGTTTTGAGAGCAGGTGCTGGTGGTGAGAGCAGGTGCTTGTGGTGAGAGCAGGTGCTTGTGGTGAGAGCAGGTGCTGGTGGTGGTGAGAGCAGGTGCTTGTGGTGGTGAGAGCAGGTGCTTGTGGTGAGAGCAGGTGCTTGTGGTGAGAGCAGGTGCTTGTGGTGAGAGCAGGTGCTGGTGGTGGTGAGAGCAGGTGCTGGTGGTGGTGAGAGCAGGTGCTTGTGGTGGTGAGAGCAGGTGCTTGTGGTGAGAGCAGGTGCTTGTGGTGAGAGCAGGTGCTTGTGGTGAGAGCAGATGCTGGTGGTGAGAGCAGGTGCTGGTGGTGAGAGCAGGTGCTTGTGGTGGGAGCAGGTGCTTATGGTGGTGAGAGCACGTGCTTGTGGTGAGAGCAGGTGCTTGTGGTGAGAGCAGGTGCTTGTGGTGAGAGCAGGTGCTTGTGGTGAGAGCAGGTGCTTGTGGTGAGAGCAGGTGCTTGTGGTGAGAGCAGGTGCTGGTGGTGGTGAGAGCAGGTGCTTGTGGTGGTGAGAGCAGGTGCTTGTGGTGAGAGCAGGTTCTGGTGGTTTTGAGAGCAGGTGCTGGTGGTGAGAGCAGGTGCTTGTGGTGAGAGCAGGTGCTTGTGGTGAGAGCAGGTGCTGGTGGTGGTGAGAGCAGGTGCTTGTGGTGGTGAGAGCAGGTGCTTGTGGTGAGAGCAGGTGCTTGTGGTGAGAGCAGGTGCTTGTGGTGAGAGCAGGTGCTGGTGGTGGTGAGAGCAGGTGCTTGTGGTGGTGAGAGCAGGTGCTTGTGGTGAGAGCAGGTGCTTGTGGTGAGAGCAGGTGCTTGTGGTGAGAGCAGATGCTGGTGGTGAGAGCAGGTGCTGGTGGTGAGAGCAGGTGCTTGTGGTGGGAGCAGGTGCTTGTGGTGGTGAGAGCACGTGCTTGTGGTGAGAGCAGGTGCTGGTGGTGGTGAGAGCACGTGCTTGTGGTGAGAGCAGGTGCTGGTGGTGGTGAGAGCAGGTGCTGGTGGTGAGAGCAGGTGCTTGTGGTGAGAGCAGGTGCTTGTGGTGAGAGCAGGTGCTTGTGGTGAGAGCAGGTGCTTGTGGTGAGAGCAGGTGCTGGTGGTGAGAGCAGGTGCTTGTGGTGAGAGCAGGTGCTTGTGGTGAGAGCAGGTGCTGGTGGCTTTGAGAGCAGGTGCTGGTGGTGAGAGCAGGTGCTTGTGGTGAGAGCAGGTGCTTGTGGTGAGAGCAGGTGCTTGTGGTGAGAGCAGGTGCTTGTGGTGGTGAGAGCAGGTGCTTGTGGTGAGAGCAGGTGCTGGTGGTTTTGAGAGCAGGTGCTCACAGTGGGCCACACGCGATGCTGCTGCACGTCTTGCTGTGCGTCGCCACCTGCCTACCTCTGAGCGTGCGCACTTTAGCCAGTACAAGAGTGCTCACACCTTGTACGACGCTGTAGTTGCGCGCTACTCCTCCCCTGCCACTGCTGCACTGAGCCGCCTCATGCTACCGTACCTCTTCCCTGACCTTGCTGCCTTTCCCACAGTCGCTAACCTCATTACGCACCTCCGCACTAGTGACACTCGCTACCGCGCTGCGCTTCCTGCTGAATTCTGCGCCAAGAACCCCCCCCCCATGTACATCACCCTCTACTACATAGTCACCCGGCTCCCTGACTCCCTTCGCGTAGTCAGGGACCACTTCCTCTCAGTTTGCCCCACCACTCTCACCGTTAACCTCCTCGAGAAGGCCCTCCTAGCAGCAGAGAAGAGCATAGTCGCTGTAGGAGCCTCTCGTGGTGACCCTCGCACCCCCGTCTTTGAGGGGTGTTCCCCCTCCCCCCTTTTGCCCTCTGTTGCCTCTGCTGCTGCGGCCGACCTCGTTGGTTTCGAGTCGGTCGGCGCTGCGTCTGCCCCGAGCGGGAGACGCCGCACCGGCAAGGGCAAGGGGGGCAAGGGTGCTGGAGGGGCTGGCGGGGGTGGCGGAGGTGGCGGTGGCGGCAGTGGAGGGGGTGGGGGTGGTGGTGGGAGTGGTGGCGGGGGTGGAGGTGTCGGTGGCGGCAGTGGAGGCGGAGGCGGCGGCGGCGGTGGCGGTGGGAGCGGAGGTGGCGGAGGTGGCGGCGGTGGAGGAGGCGGCGGCGGAGGAGGTGGAGCTGGTCGGGGTGGCGCTGCGCAGAGGGTCGGCTCCGGTGGTGGTCAGCGCCAGCAGCAGCAGCAGCAGCGGCAGCAGCGCACTCGTGACATCCCCCCCCCTCAGCAGCTCCGTGAGTGGTACGCTGCACGCCAGCGGGGTGGGGGTACTGGTCCGTGCACCTACGTCCTACGCACCGGCGACCGCGCGGGTGAGCAGTGCGGGGGTGCGCACTCCACCCAGCGCTGCTTTGGCCGCCTGACGGACGCTTGGTGTCACCAGTTCCCTGAGGCCACTGAGATCCCCCGCTGGGGCGAGCTGTCTAGGGCGGGTGTAGCTGTCTTTGACCTTGACTTTGATGCTATTCTTGCTGCCATGTATGCTGTGACTATTAGTGATGAGGGTGACTGTTACCGGTGTTTTCCGCCCGACCCGGGCATTGAGACTGCTGCTCTAGGTACTGGTGAGGCTGCTGCTCTAGGTGCTAGCGAGGCTGCTGCTCTAGGTGCTCGTGCGTCTGCTCCCTCAGGTGCTGGTGAGTCTGCTCTCTCAGGTACTGCGTCGGCTTCGGCCTCCCACACCTTCACCCTTGACTCGGGGGCTTCTCGCTCCTTCTTTCGAGACCGCACCACACTCACGCCGCTTGGCCGGCCAGTTGCAGTCTCTCTGGCAGACCCCTCTGGGGGTCCTGTCCTTGCTCACTTCTCCACTGTCCTCCCGTGTCCGGCGGCCCCCTCTGGCACCCTGTCTGGTCTTTACCTCCCCTCGTTCTCTACGAACTTGGTGAGTGGTGCTGACCTACAGGATGCGGGGGTTCACCAGTTCACTACTGCGAGTCAGCGGGTGACCCACTGCACGGACGCTCGGACAGGCCGACACCTGGCCACGTTTACACGTCGGCCGGGGTCGAGCCTGTACACACTGACCACTGCGTCTCCTCCAGTCACTGCGTCTGGTCAGGTAGCTGCGTCGGGTCAGGTGTTTGCTGCAGCGTCCAGGTCTGGTCCTGAGTCTGCCCCCTGTTCGTGTCGCCTCCTGTCGCACGAGACTCTCCTCTGGCACCACCGCCTTGGTCACCCCTCCCTGCTTCGTCTCCGAGGCATGGCCTCCCGTGTCCTTGTCTCTGGTCTTCCCCGGTCCCTCCCTCCCCTTCCTCCGGGGCCCGGCCTTACCTGCGTCCCTTGTGTCGAGGGGCGGCAGCGGGCTGCCCCTCACTCCTCCCAGTTTCCTCCGACAGAGGCCCCGCTGCAGACGCTTCACATGGACGTGTGGGGCCCGGCCCGCGTCCGTGGACAGGGTCACGAGCGCTACTTCCTGCTGGTGGTTGACGACTACTCACGTTACACCACAGTCTTCCCCTTGCGCAGCAAGGGTGATGTCACTGAGGTGTTGATCGACTGGATCCGCGCAGCTCGTCTCCAACTCAGGCAGAGCTTCGGCTCGGACTTTCCTGTTCTGTGTCTGCACTCTGACAGAGGTGGAGAGTTCTCCTCTGGCCTTCTGCGAGCCTACTGTCGTGCACGAGGCATCCGCCAGACCTTCACACTTCCGGACTCTCCACAGCAAAATGGGATTGCTGAGCGCCGCATTGGCATGGTCATGGACGTCGCCCGTACGTCCATGATGCATGCGGCTGCCCCCCATTTTCTGTGGCCGTTTGCGGTTCGGTACGCGGCGCATCAGATCAACCTTCACCCCAGGGTCTCCATGCCGGAGACCTCCCCAACTTTGCTGTGGACGGGGAAGGTTGGCGATGCGTCTGCGTTCCGTGTCTGGGGATCTCGGGCGTTTGTCCGCGACTTGTCTGCGGACAAGCTGTCCCCTCGTGCTGCTCCTTGCGTCTTCCTTGGCTTCCCCCCTGACGCGCCAGGGTGGCAGTTCTACCACCCCACCTCTCGCCGTGTTCTGTCCTCCCAGGACGTCACGTTTGACGAGTCGGTCCCCTACTACCGCCTCTTCCCCTACCGCACTCCGTCCCTCCCCCCGCCACCGCTCTTCCTTGTGCCAGGCCCCCCCCCGGTAGACCCCCTCCCCCCTCAGGGTCCTGCCCCTTCAGGTGTGTCCCAGGTAGACGCCGTCGAGCCTGTCGAGGTTACTGGTGACTCTGGTGCTGCTGAGGGTGCTGAGCCTGGGGGTGCTGACTCTGGGGGTGCTGAGCGTGTGGGTGCTACGCCTGGGGGTGCTGAGCCTGAGGGTGCTACTCCTGGGGGTGCTGAGCCTGGGGGTGCTGAGCCTGGGGGTGCTACGCCTGGAGGTGCTGAGCCTGGGGGTGCGGAGCCTGAGGGAGCTGGGCCTGCTCGTGTGGCGTCTGGCGGTGCTGAGCCTGGAGGTTCTCCGGGTGCTTCGTCTCGGCGGGAGCCACTCTCTCCACAGGAGCTGCGAGAGTGGTTTGCCCGGCGCTGGAGGCGTGCTGCTGGAGCTGGAGGTTCTTCGGCTGCTGAGGGTGCTGGTGCCGCGGGTCCCGGAGGTGCTCGTACTGGGAGTACTGGAGCTGCTGGGCCTGTGGGTACGACTGGAGCTGGAGCTGCTGAGGGTGTTGGCGCTGAGGCTACTGCTGTCGGTCCTGGAGGCGGTCCTGCTGGGGGTGCTACTGGTGCTGCTGGAGGTACTGGAGCTGGAGGTGCTACTGGCGCTGGTGCTGCCGCTGGGGGTACTGGTGCTGTCCCTGCTGTGTCTGGAGTCGCCGCGCGGCCTCGGCCGTACTTCGTTCCGCTCCTTCAGCAGGTTCTTGGTCTCCCGCCTTCTACTGGTCCTCCTCCTCCCTTAGAGTGTCCACAGCCTGTCCCGTCACAGTTACAGCTACAGCCGGCCTCCCCACTGCCCGCTCCTTCTCCCTACACTGGTCCTACTGGAGGTCTGGCTGAGCGTCGTGAGCCTGCGTCTCGCCCTGCGTCGCCTGTCCGTCTTGCTCGCACTAGTGGTCGTGGTTCGCGTCAGCGTCCTCCTCCTGTCCCTGGCACGCACCGGATGTCTCTGCGTCCGTCCACTGCTCCTCTGCGTGCCCCTTTGCCTTCTCCTCCTGAGTCCTCTCTTCCTGCTCTTCCCGACCCGGAGTCGGACTCTCTTCGTGCTGCCAGTCCTACTATCACGCGTCTCCTTGCTACTGTCGTCACTGACCCTTCCTTTGAGTCCACGGCTGCGTCTGCCCTAGTTGCTGAGCTCGTCGACTTTGCTGCTCGCTGTCGTCTAGACTACGCTGCTAGTCTTGTCGTTGAGTCTGAGTCTGTCTGTCCTCCGTCCGTCGGGGGTGAGTGTGCCCTTGGCACGGACGTCCTTGAGGACAGGCAGGAGGAGTTCCAGTGTTTGGCTGCTGCTTCACCTCATCTCGTGTCCGTACTGCTTACCCCTGAGGGAGACCCGGATGCACTTGACATCCCGACTCCGCGCTCTTACGCGGAGGCGATAGAGGGTCCCTACTCCTCTCAGTGGCAGGCAGCTATGGACGCAGAGATGGCTTCCTGGAAGTCCACAGGCACCTACGTTGACGAGGTTCCCCCGCCTGGGGCGAACATCGTCAGTGGCATGTGGATTTTCAGGGTGAAGCGGCCGCCGGGTTCTCCGCCTGTCTTCAAGGCGCGTTACGTGGCTCGTGGCTTCAGTCAGCGGCAGGGAGTTGACTACTTTCAGACCTTCTCTCCCACCCCGAAGATGACCACTCTTCGGGTACTGCTGCACATAGCTGCTCACCGCGACTACGAGCTGCACTCTCTTGACTTCAGCACTGCTTTCTTGCAGGGCAGCCTGCACGAGGAGATCTGGCTGCGTCGCCCACCTGGCTTCACTGGGTCTTTTCCTCCTGGCACCCAGTGGAGCCTCCGGCGGCCAGTCTACGGTCTCCGCCAGGCACCACGTGAGTGGCACGACACACTGAGGACTACACTTGCGGCTCTTGGGTTTGCTCCCTCTACTGCCGACCCGTCGCTGTTTCTGCGCACCGACACTTCTTTGCAGCCGTTCTACATCCTCGTGTACGTCGACGACTTGGTCTTTGCCACAGCTGACACTGCTGGACTCGCCCACGTGAAGTCCGAGCTGCAGAAGAGACACACGTGCACAGACCTGGGTGAACTGCGCAGCTACCTTGGCTTGCAGATCACCCGGGACAGAGCACGCCGCACCATTACCCTGACTCAGTCACACATGGTGCAGCAGGTCCTTCAGCGCTGCGGCTTCACGTACTCCTCGCCTCAGGCCACTCCTCTGCCTACTCGCCACTCGCTCTCAGCTCTGCCTTCGGATGAGTCCGTAGAGTCGAGTGGCCCGTACCCAGAGCTTGTTGGCTGCCTCATGTACCTGATGACCTGCACACGACCTGACCTCGCATACCCTCTTAGCATTCTCGCACGCTATGTTGCTCCTGGGAGACACAGACCGGAGCACATGGCTGCAGCGAAGAGGGTGTTGCGTTACTTGTGCAGTACGTCGGGCA